CTAGGGATGTGCCCACAACCAATGTACATGCCCTTGACTGGAATTGAATCTGGGACCTTTCAGTCCGCAGACTGATGCTCTACCACTGAGCCAAACCAGTTTCGGCTAAAACATAGTTCTTAGCCACTATACTATGCAGCCTCCCTTACAAGAGTCACCTGAGTTTGTCATGCCCCTTCCTCCACCACTTACTTCTCTGTCCACAGCTATTTCTTTTCCTACCACTTGCCTAAACCTTTCAAAGGTCTCCATAACTACTAACTCTCAAACCCACCAGTCACATTTTAAGCTTCTGTGTCCTGACTTCTCTGCAGACCTGAATACCCTGAATACTAAGGCCATAAACTCACTGCTGGCTTCACCTTAATCTCTGTGTCTACCTCAGCACTGTTCAATGGAAATTTCTGTGAAGATGAAAGTGTATGGATGTGCTAACCAGTATGGAAGCCACTAACCACAGGTGGCTACTGAGCACTAGCAGTGTGGCGGGTGTGACTGAATTTTGTGGCCTCCTACTGGTCAGTGCAGGCACTGCAGGGCTCCTGACTGGGCCCTGCAACCTTGCAGAAGAGCTCTGTCCTTGCTCCTTACTCTGCTCTTCCCAGCAGCCTACCCCCACAGAAGACCACAACCACCAATGCAGCCCAGACAGACGTCTTTCCTCAGGAACACCACCACCTTCAATTGATCATGTCTTAACCTGCAAGCCACTTCCTTGGTGAGTCTCCTCCCACTCAGGCAATCCCTACTCAAGAGAACAGGCTGCAGGCGCTACCTCCTGCCTGGTCCAGAGGCAAAGGCAGGGATTCATTTTACATCACTCCCTTTCCTCTTTCTTTCCTACCCCTCCCCGTCAATCACCCCTCTATGCTCTTTAAACATGACCTCTAGCTTCCACCGCCATGGCTCTAAGCCAGGATGCTATACAGTGGACCTGAGAGATTAGTGAAGTCCAGTATTCGTATGTTAAGCAACAGGTAAAGTATAACATGGCTGGAAAATTCTTTTATACTTGTCAGAAAAAAAAATAACAGAAAAAGCTGCCAAAGCTGCCATCCTAAAGCAGGGGGGTGGGGGATGGTACAGACAATCTCACTGTGTGTAAGGCAGCCTTTAAATTTAAAATGAAGTGGGTACTATCTTAAAAATTCTAAATGTGAGCTCGGGTTATCTCTTGGTGAAAGGATCAATTACTGACTTATTCATTTATCAAAAGTATAATCTCAATTCAAGTGTCACTTAGTATTCTCATATATTTAACAATTATAGCTTCTGCCCTGAACACCTAAAAAAATTCCACATGCACCAATGGGCAGGCAGGCAGTGCTGAGAACCTTGGAGAGGCCATACCCCTCGCTGACATCTGCCAGCCACCGGGAACAGAGTGACCTGTGGTCCTCTGTGCTCCCAGGGCTCTCCCCAGAAGTGCTCCATGGGCCCTGGAACCACCCACTGCTTCACTTCCCTCAGAGGAACTCCAAGGAAACTCTGTGTTGGCATTTCACCCCTCAGGCTTGTCAGAACACTTAGGCCAGCACAGTGTAGTCCACACAGCGTAGTATGCAATAAACGTAGAAATCACGACCATACTAAAAGCAAGAGAACATTAGAAATAATCCTTGGATCGACACAAGTTTGAAGGTTAAACAGTCTTTCTGAGTCTGAAATGGCACCTGCTCCACTGCTTTGCTGAGAAGTTCCTAGCGGGTTTCTGAGGCATTTTTTGGAAATGCAGGGATTCTACCTGGAAATGTTCTACAAGGGGGGAACCTCAGGTCCTCGGTTCCATGAAGAACAGCAAGAGTGCTCACTGGCCCCCCGGGCTTTCATGACCCTTCTCTCACCTGGAGAAAATGATGTCTGACCCAGCACTGATAAATCCCACAGACAGCACATCACTGGCTGCTAGGAACTTCTGGCAATACTAATTTTGGAGTGTAAGATATAAACATATATTAGGTTAAATTAATAAATTTCTTTGGCCATTTCTGTTGCCAGAAAAATCCTAATATTATCCTTGGGGACAATCATTTGAATGAAAAATCAAGTGCCTAGGGAGGGGATATGAGATCCTCATTATCCATCATGATTCTGGTGGACAAAAGCTTCCATTTCATCCATCACAAACTGAATGAATCAAAAGGTGAATCAGTTATTTTAAAATAAGTTTTAATATTTCAAAACAATTAAACATCAGAAAAAGTAACATTTAATATTTAAAATGTAATGTCATTTTTTACCTTCATTAATAATAAAAATAATAGCCGAAACTGGTTTGGTTCAGGGGATAGAGCGTCGGCTTGCGGACTGAAAGGTCCCAGGTTCGATTCCGGTCAAGGGCATGTCCCTTGGTGGCGGGCAAATCCCCAGTAGGGGGTGTGCAAGACGCAGCTGATCGATGATTCTCTCTCATAGATGTTTCTAACTTTCTATCCCTCTCTCTTCCTCTCTGTAAAAAATCAATAAAATATATTTTAAAAAATACCAATGGTATTAAAAAAATAATAAATATAAAAAGCCAATGATGTTTCCAAAAATAACACTGGTAAATTAATGGCTACCCTGAGGAAGGACTGGGATGGTCTCATGCTGAGACCAGGAGGACATCGCATGACCTGGTGGGAAACCAGAGGAACTGGAGACCATCAGGGTGGGTTTCTTCCTCCCAGCTGAGCCTTCACTGACAGTTCTTCATGCAGAACATTCATTACCCACCACCGAGTTAAAATCCCAGCCAGCTTCCAAGCGTTGGTTTACCCTCCACCACCTCCAGAGCCTTCCTGAACCTCCCAGCTAGAAACCACTTCTCCCTACACTGAACTCATGCATACTTCTTAGGAATCCTCTCGTACATTTTCACACAAATGTTTTCCATAAGATAAATTTCTTATGGGGGTGTGACCCCACCATACATTTCATGTGAAAACAGAAAGAGGGATTAATGAGCCAGTTTCAGTAGGTGCTCCAACTAGAATTTGCAGTTTTATTTTATTGCAGAGAAACCATAGGCAGGTGTAATCCTGCCTTTATTTCCTGGCTGTCTTTGTGCCTCAATTTCCGATCTCTTAAAACAATGGTAATACCTCGCTTGCAGGGCTGGCATTAAGAACTCAAACTGGCCCTAGCCGGTCTGGCTCAGTGGATAGAGCCTTGGCCTGTGGATTAAAAGGCCCCAGGTTCGAGTCTGGTCAAGGGCACGTACCTCAGTTGCAGGCTCGATCCCTGGACCTGGTGGGGAACATGTGGGAGACAACCAATCAATGTCTCTCTCTCACATTGGCGTTTCTCTGTGTCTCTCTCCCGCCCTTCCACTTTCTCTAAAAATCAATGAAAAATATCCTCGGGTGAGGATTCAAACTGCAGTCAGATAATACACACAGTGCCCCGAGCAGGAGTCATACGGAGCATTAAAGGTGTTCAGGGCACAGTGCTGGGTCCCCAGGGGTCTGGCAGTAAGGGGCGCAGTGCCTGCCTCCAGTGCTCTTGTCATTCTGTGAGTTTCTCTTCCCTTGGAACATGCCTCCTCTGTGCAGGTGATCTGCAGGCACCGTGCCCTGCTCCCTTCCCGAGTATCTGAATGGGACCCACCGCCCTGTTTCTCTGTAACCAAGCCCCACACCTAGGCTGGGTGCCAACCCACCTGACTGCCAGGCACCAGTGCTACAAGATAATGAAAGATGGGGCCCAAATGGGACAGAAAACGACAGAGGAGGCACTGCCAACAGTTCAGACAGTCGAATTGGCCCTTCCGTTCTCAGGAGTGCACAGCAGCCTGCACATCTGGCCTCGGGGAGTCACTGGTGAGATATGTTAACACATCAGGGAGCCCACAGCGCAGTGTCACCTGGAGGGGCAGGTGTACTTCAGAGACTGGAAGATTAACAAGGACCCTCAGGTTCAGGACAGTTTAAAATGAAAGCTGTGTAGTGAGGATGTTGCCATATTGGTTCAATTCATCTGCTTCAAGTGAAAAGGCTGTGTAGTCAGTGGGAGGAAAACAGTTCCCGAGAGTGACTCACATTCTTACTGTCTCCCAGAGCGAGGCACTTTTAAAAAAATATTTTTATTTACTTCAGAGAGGAAGTGAGAGGGAAATAGAAAGATCAATTATGAGAATTATGAGAAAGAATCATTGATCGGCTGCCTCCTGCATGCCCCCCAACGGGGACCGAGCCTGCAACCTGGGCAAGTGCCCTTGACCAGAATTGAACCCAGGGCCCTTCAGTCCACAGACCGACATTCTATCCACTGAGCCAAACCGGCTAGGGCAGTAGGCACTTTAAGTGGCGGTCACAGAGGCAAGTCCTTGCTAGTGAAGAACCTGGCCCACCCGATGGGGACCAATCAGGGCAGGGCTGGCGCGAGGTTGGCCAGCTGCAGTGCACATCATAGCAACAGATCGTTCCGGTCACTTGGCTTTTATATATGTAGATTTTTCTCCTGACAGAGGTATAACCAAGTGTATTTTTTTTTAAATCACCAAATAAAAGGATGTACTAAGAACAGGTGTGTGTTTTTCACTATGCTCAGACACTATCATAACTTTAACATAGTTTCTATTTACTATGTTGTTAACACCTGTAACAAGAGCAACTTTCTACTGAGTGTGTGGCCTGCACTGTGCTTAACACTTCCTCTTTAGTGCTCACAATGACCTCTGGAATATATAATCTCTCCTTTTGGTTGGGTCTCAAAAGATGAGGGAAACTGCCTGACGTCACAAAGCTAGTAAGTGGCAAATCCATAATTCATAACCAGAACTACAGCGCCCAAAGGACAGTGCTCTGAGCTGCTCTATAGCTTTGCTGACAAACAGCAGCAAAAAGACAAGCCACGTGAAGCAAAGACACCCCCATTTCTGCAGGTACTAAATTACATTTCATGGCTCAACACACAAACCGGTCTTCGTCTGCCCATATGAGTCGCGGTTAAATGGAAAACCTCCTCTTTTATCTCTGCTAAGTCGAATGAAAAAGCGCGGTCCCAGAAGGATGTCTTACCCGTGCTGCTGTCTCCACTCTCCATGGACGGTTTACCATTTTCTGGCGGGTTGTTCATTCTTGAGTCTGCAATAAATCAGAGATGAATGAAGTTTAAAAAACTGGGGGGGGGAGGGCAAAACTGTGGCAGAGGGAAAGGTTAAGATTATTGCCTAATGTCACAGCCCTGTAGTTTGAAAAGACTGAATCAATGCTAAAATGTTGGAAATTGCAATAAAAGTTTTCTGAAATAAATTCAAGAGTCCATCAACTTTAAAGTGATCCACAAATGTGTCTTTCTAATAAATTTTAAGATTCTTCCAAAAAAGATAGCAAAAATCTAACCTAAAAAGTAATAATAGGGTCTGATATGAAAAGGGTGTAAATGCTTTGTAATATGAAGCATAAAGTGTGAAAGAAACAAAGTTGGGGAAGCACCTCACCAAGGAAAACATGTTAGTGGCCAACGAAGTTTCTTTTCCCATAAACAGAGATATTTGTTAATTATGACCAAAAACCCACTTATAACCTTGACAACAGACTGAATAGTAACTCAAAAAAATGGTACAAAGCGTATCTAAGAAAAATATCTCCAAATTTACTCCTTCCCCCAAGAAACTAAGCATATGTCAAAGTGATATGTTGAGTTCACATCTCAATCATAAGCCAACACAAAGAGTTAACACAGACATAACAGATACATCTAATAATGTCAAGACTGACTCACAACCACACCCACTTATGAATTATGCTGCCTTGACACCCCAAATGAACCCACTTCTGTGGCTCATACCTTTAGGGTTTTCTTTTTAATGAAGATGTCATGGTGAAAAGTTTTCATCAAGCAATGTTAGGTATCCCAGGAGACATGCAACAGGTGGGACAAGAGCAAGTCTGCTTTCCTTTGACTTCTTCAGAAGTGTGAAAACTAAATATACATTAAATTAAATATAGACCTTATTCTAATTCTACAAACTCAAACTTAGCAAATTTACAAATTAAGTAAGTTTATTATCAAGCAAGTTCTGCCTTTTCCCCACCAGGTTAAGAACATTTAACTACTGGTTAGTAGAGAATAAACCCTTTAACTATATTATATTTGATTTTTTTTTTTTAACCAAAGAGTACATTTTGTCATATGCTTAAATATTTAAATAGGAAATCAAACCAATCACTAGAGCCCCAACCACGTTGCCACAGTGGCATTATGTACATGCACAAGGGATGAGAGAGCTTCATTCATTTCACTTCCAACTCAAGAAGCTGGGGACCAGCCATTCTAACACAGTTTTTTAAACATGTGCCTGTCTAATGTGCCTATACAGACAGGTCTTTCATGTCTTCAGTTTGTTCTTCAGAAGTTCAAAGGACTCAGATTCTTATGCCTTTGGTCATAAATAAGAATTGTTCTACAACTTCCTATCCCACCCTGTCCAGAAAAATGTAAATGCCATCTGAAAGCATGCTACGGTTTGAAAGAAACAGGTGTACAACTCTGTGAAAATCAGCTTTCTGAATGACTTAACAAAAATCTTATGAAAGCCAACAAAGACCCCACGTGTAATAGAATATGCCATTAAGCATACACACTGCTCAATGCTTCCTTTAGACCATATTTTAAAAGGAAATGGGGGAAGATAATGAACCAGTTAACATTCATTTTTAAAAGGTAATTTTCTACCTATCATAAAAACAAAGAAGGCACAATTCTCAACAAGTCATAGCTCAACCTTGTACCAGTCATATCCTAATTTTCCCACCCATAAATTAAAAATTATGTCACCAGGTACTCTATGTGAATATTCTAATGATATTCTATTGAATTGTCAAGAACTTCAAAGACATTTAACAAATTACTTCACGCAAAATAAATAAAATTTTTGATTAATGGTATAACTATGGGAAGATCGTTTAAATATTTATTAACTAAAAATAATAGATATAATTTCTTATTCTAAAATAAGCTAAAAATATTTCAAAAATATATTTTCCTTTTCTTTCTTGAGTTCCCAACTTAGTAAATGTAAGCTGAAATAAGTAATTTCCTTTTTGATATTTGGAGTGCTCTTCCTGGGTACCCTGAGGTGACTGTATAATGAATCTAATTCACATTCTGCAAATTGCTCTTGGTGAATTCTTGCATTCGGTTTGCTGGTTCAGTCATTCACGTGCAGACAATACTACTATCCTGGGTTCAGGCCATGCCTTCTGTTACCTACGATTTCAAACATTTCCAGAACTATCATTGTATTCTAACCCTGGCAACTGTGAAGATGATGGGGGCAGCCTGGATTTTTCAAATGGGAAAAATGGCAAACAGGGGAAAAAATCATTTGCAAAGATTTGTAAGATATATGAGTCGGGGAGTTCCCATCATCTGACTCTCCAGGGGACCAGAGTAACCCAAAGAGGTTTCCACAATTTTGCACACAAGCAGACAAAGCTCAACACAAAGTATGGCTACCACGAGCATCCACAGTAAGTCTAAAAACCATCCTTTTAAATCGTCATCACCAAAGACATAATTTATATGTGCAAGCCAGAAAGCCCCTCTCTAAAGGCTTGTTGCTCTATATAGGGATAACTCTAAAACTCTAAAAAACTCTAAAAATAGGTTTTCCAGTACTTATGACTGTTTTCTGAGGAAGAGAAGCTAAATTTTTCAAATAAAAAGGCTAATATTGTCAAAATTTGGCAGTTTCAGTTTCTAAAATCTGGAAATTGACCCACAGCTCAACTGCAGTACCAGAGCAGTTACCCAAATCTGTCCTCCTGGGAGCTGCTCTGCACTGTGGCTCCACCTGGTTTGCACTAAGCACTTTTGTTTTTTACAAGACATTTCAACTAAGTATGCAAAAACATTTTTATTAACATACATATTATTTAGGTACACTTCAGACCTTGTTTCTGATCCAGAGTGTCTTTAGAACTACATGACACGCTCTCAATAGAAAATTTAAAAAAAAAAAAAAAAAAAAGCAAAAATGTCCTCCATTCAAGTTGAACTCAAAATCCATACTGTTTACTGCAAGTCTCCTCTGAACCAGAAGAGCTAGAAGTAGGGAGGGACCTGCAGCAAATTCAAGTACTGGTGCTCTGCAAATACTTCCCCACCTTCCCTACTGCACCAGCCTCTCCTTCCCCCCAGACGGTCATATCAGTGATTAAGCATTTCTGCATAGCCAACCCCGAGCCCGCTATTTCCATATAAAGCTGTAAGAAAGAGCTGTGCTGGTACCCACCTAGAATAAAGTCACTGCAGTCCAGCATTGCTGTGAAATCTTCTAGGCTCACAGTCCACAGCAAAGAAACAGGTAACGGATTGGGTGGGGTCAGCAGGTACTACTATTTCTTGCAAAACTAAGGGAACTAGAGTGGGAGATGGAAAGTGGACTGGGGAGAAGCAGACTACAACTTCAGTTACACCATGGCCATCTTCAACTGAATAAGGAAACTTCAGTTGCTCGGAGGAGTTTTAGTCTTTCCTATCAGCTAGGACTGACATTGTCAAGGCAACTGAAGCATGAAAAGTTCCCCTTTTTGTAATAAAATAGAAACAAAGATTGCAGCTGGCAGTTTCCATAATGAAGCTTAATCAGTATGCGGGTGATTAGGGCCTTATGCAAATCTCTCCTCGTTAGCACAGCAGCCAGCACTTTGAAGTCCATGAACAATTCATTTACAGAATACACTGGGAGCCCTCCCTGCATAATTTAAATCATTGCATAAATATTTATCAGTTCATTTGCATATTAATTGGCAGTGCGTGAAGGGAAAAATTATCTCCTGAGTGCCAGCATAATAATTAGGAGGATAAAATGAGATTTCTTCCAATGGCCCGGCTTCTCGGACCTAACTTGAGATAGTGCCAGGGGAGAAGGGAGGGAGAGGAGACAGAGTTCTGTTAAAATGCCACTGAAATGACACATACAAATTAGAAACAACTCCACAGACTTAAGCACCTTTAATCTTATTCCTGCTGGCAACAATGACTTCAGTAATAAGAGGATTTGCAAAAACCTTTCTACACAATCCAAATAATCCCAAGGAAACAATTAGCAAGGTAGAAGCAGAACACAGGACCATCAAGATGGTGCTAGCCCACTGATAGGGAAGGTTCCAGATTATTAACATGTGCCCTCAGGGGAAAGTACTGCTCACAAAAGGCACAGTAAAAACCCAGAAGCAGAGCAGGATGGTAAAAGCACAGAAGTTGGAAGTCTTCCTGCACAATTCTTTTTATACTGAGCTGAAGGGCTAGATTAGTGGATCACCACATGATATGTGGGTAGCCTTCCCCATCAACCTCAATCAAAAGTGGAAGACAGCCTGGCTGGCATGGCTCAGTGGTTGAGCATCAACCCATGAACCAAACAACCAGTTTGATTCCCAGTTAGGCCACAGGCCTGGTTGCCGACTCAATCCCTAGTGTAGGATGTGCAAGAGGCAGTTGATCAATGGTTCTCTTTCATAATTGAGGTTTCTCCCTCTCTCTCTCCCTCTACCTTCCTCTCTTAAAAATATATATATTTAAGTGGGAGACAGTTTGTTACTTACAATAACAACCATCAGGAAATGGGGTGTGTAAATTGTGGAATTACCCAGAATTTCAAGTGGATCCTACTTAACAGATATGAATATAAATGTGTGCATGTATAAAACCCTACTAAATAATACATCTATACAATTTAAAGTGAATATACAAGGTAAATATCAACCCAAACTTTTTAGGCATTATGACAACATTGTGTTGGAATCAATCTAGCTGGTTCAGAAGATTTATTTTAAAAAATCACAGGAAGCATACATTATTACCCCTTTAAAAGCAAGGACCCCGAGCCACAGAGGGCTGGAGCACTCTACACCACACTAGCAATGTGGAATTAGGATTTAACCAGATTTCCTGACATGAAATCTGAGCTCCTGGTTCTTACACATGATGGACAAGCTGTATATTCAGGGGTGTGGCAGACGTGGGGGAAGGCTTGAGGAAGGCAAGGCTAACATAGCATGTTTCAGAGTGGCCAGGAGACCAACAATTGGTGACAAGGAGTTGTGTTTAAAGTCAAGTGTGTACAGATACCCTG